AAAGACAAACTGATTCAGGGCCAACAAAGCAACCTCTCTGCCCAAAACAACTGAGCAGGAACAAAGGTGGAAGTGAAGACATGCAATTACTGCTAAGCAGTGACACAATTACTGACTAAATGCATGGAAGGGATATTACACTGATCACGTCTGTTTAGTTTTTTAGTGTATGCTGTGCCATATGTTTTCACTTAAGTTAAAAAACCAAAAAATTGCAGCAACTCTCCCGTCCTCATTACACAGAGAGATTGCCAGATACTAGCTACTCCTTCTGAAAGCCTTTTATATTCTTCAAACCACATGTACTGAGAAATGCTATTAATAGTCAGGTATTTCTTCAGTCTTGTTTGTTGCCTTTCTCCAAATAACTCTTTCCTTTTGCTTTAGCTACAGAGGTAAATTTGGGGAGGAGGCCCTCTGGGATTAATAATCTTACTAACACTATAAACAATTTTTCCATTGCTTCTTCATTGACAAATTTAACCCTGAGAGCAGTGCACATGGTAGAGAATCTCTGCAACTACATGGACAGCATGGGCATATTCGTACCTCCATAATTACACTGATAGGAGCACTGCTAGAAAAAGGTGCAAATCCAAAAGAAGAAATTTCAATTTAGATTTAAAAAAAACTCCATGTGACTTGTTCAAGAGCCCAAGATTGCTGCAGTCTCCTTGCTCTTGACTGAAAAAAGTTGCAACAACAGACTTGGTGGGTGCTGGGAAAGAATTCCTCCAAGCAAATTATACTCTTACAAATGGTGAAATATGGGAGGCACTCCAACATCCAAGTTAATGCCAAAACAATAGCCTGGGACACACAGGAGGGTGCTCGGCAGCTGGAGCTGTCCCCCACAGGAACCCTTGACATTTGGAGCTTTTAGAGTTCCAACATCTTGTTGCAGTTTGATCTTCTTGACAACTGTGAGACTTGACCAATTTCATCATGTTCCTCACTTTGGCTATAAACACACCAGCAAACAAACCACACCAGCAAACAAACTGGCAGCAGGGCATAGTCCTGCATGGTCCTGCTCGAGTCCACACTAACAAAGTGTTAGCACAGTCCCAGATGTGCTCACCAGGGCCAACAAACATCCTCCTCTACAATTCTCACGCATTCACAGGCTAATACAGGCCAGTGACCTTTCTTGATAGGAAGCCTGGACATAGCCACTCTATTTTTGTGGGGGGCAGGGAGTTAATCTGTTTGAACAATGAGCTCAACAGCGTTCACGACCACAGGACAACCACTTTATTTATTAATAGAGATGGAGTCATCGTTTCCAAGCACTTCGAGTGGCCCATCCCGTTTCCAGACTCTGTCAAATCCCACAGTAGGGGACAACAAGTTTGATGTGGCAGACAATCTCAGTTTCTAAAAGCAAGTGCAGTCAAACATGACATTGGCCTGTTTGTCAACATGGGCATTCCTCATTTAAAAATCTTGATCCAGATTCTGAAATATAATCTCATGGGTTCACAGCCAGCTGCAGAAGTCACTGGGCAAAAGCTAGAGCCACTGTTACATGAATGGCCAAACTAGGTACTGGTAGTGACCTTTTAAGGTGCCCAAACATAATCACACCTATTCATACCTATTATTTCCCCTGTTCTCTGCACACGGAGGAAACAGTTTCCACAAGGGCTACAGACACCTATGATGAAAGCAACAACATCTTCAAACTGCTGGATCAGCTCCAACATTCCTGACAGCTCTCACCTCTGCTTTTGTCCCAGGTTCCTGGGCATTGTGATCAAGTAATTAGAACCAATCCTTGGTCCAGATCTTTGGTGAACAGAGTCAACAACTACAACATTTATTAAAACTCTACCCATTTAAGAGAGGTTAAGAAAAAGGTGCAACAGCTGCTCTTCAGTTCCTCTACATCTATTTCTAATAACTAATTGAGGACTCTCAGAACCACTGTTCAAAGAGAGTTTGATCAAGACTTCATAACACACACCTCATCTCAGAAAGCAGCAGGGTTGCCACCTGCTTATTCTGTGCCTCTTTCACAGAATGCAAGTAATCACTAAGGCTGTTAACTGACAATAGCAGCAGTTTCCCATCTGACACAGGATGTGCAGTATTCCTACTGCAATAGTCCATTTCACAACCAGCAGCATTCAGGGAAAGTCTAAAAACTTTCATATTCAGGACCCTATTCACCTTGAGGGCTTCTACACACAAATGCTCTTGCCAAGAATGGAGCACTCTGTCCATAAAACCTCCTTGCCTGGGCTGATGGCCAAATCAGAAAATAACCACTGGAGTGAAGGAGCAAGAAATCTTTCACAAAGAAGCACTGTTAAACTTTCTATGTTGTACTGAGTACTTTTAAGCATCTGGAGATAGGAGAGCTGTCTTTACAATCAGATTCTCATCAAAGAAAATGAAAATCTCTGATGGACTGTGTCAAAATGATCAGCATACTGCCTTCTCTTTGATATGATAACCTTTAAAGAGCAGTAGTCCTGCCCTGAAAATTTCTGAGCCATTTCTATTCTTTTACATGTAATTTATAGAGATGTTATTCCAAATTAGTGCAGCCCAGTAGACAATACTCCTCAAAAGCTGCCTTCTCCTAAATATTGCAAGACTCATTCTAGCAATCTTGGAACTGTCCTTTCTTGAACCAGTAAACACAAAGTGATGGATAAAAAAGGACTTAATTCAGCTTTTTTTTCAGAGACAAAGCAAAGCTTAGGTAAGAATAGAAACTTTAATAAAAGAAAGTAGAAATGGTGGATTATCTTCCAAGCTACCATTAATCCCTTGGTTTCATAACTGTAGCATTTTCAAGCTACCACAGATTAGTTTCTAGAAGTTCCTTGGAACATGCAGCATCACTGAAAGTGAGCTCGTCCTGTAGATGTATTTCAAACACGAAAAAACCAAAAAGACCCAAACAAACAAAAAGCCATTTTGCACTTGGAACGGATCACAGTGACTTAAGAACAGCAGGTGATATTCACCACAGTTCTCACAAGGTCTTCCCATTGCCATCTCAGCTGCAGTCAGTGTCTATGAACACCAACCACGTTTCCCAGTGTGGTGCACATCGGAAATCCCAGCTGACGGTGCCATGGGGCTGCCTAACACACAGAGCAGAGCTCCTGCCCTGTCTGTTTCAACACAGCCACATCTCTCTACACTTGCTCAGCCACCCTGACTGCTCCTTTTCCCATGCACATCCCAGTCCGACAGTCTTCACCTTGCACCAGCACGTGACTGAGCTCCACGCTGCCTGCCTGGATCATTTGTTTGGATATCATTAGATGGCCCTGACTGAAAGCCCTAATGAGGTGCTGATTCCATCATCCAATCAGTTGTCTGAGCCCAAATGCATCCCATGGGACAGCCAGAAAAGACTGATGCAAGAATTCCAAGTGATGTGTAACATGAAAGGGCGCCATTCGCATCGCTAGGACTCACAGCCTGTCAGCAGGGCCATTAGAAATCCGGGGCTACACAGATTTATAATTCAACCCTCCCACACACAGAACTTGCTCCAGACTGAAACTTGGCACAAAATTCAGTCCCAGGAGGGTGTTAAAAAAATAACCTATTCAACGGTTTCCGTCCCATGGCTTCAGCTCACAGCCATTTAAATAATGGCAATTTCTCATTTCTCTTTTTAACTGAGGAAATCCAATATAAAACACCAGATTTACATAACATTGCAGTGGTGATACAAGCTGGCAACAAACCCAGAGAGAAGGCTGCCAGAGCCATTCTGTCATTCTCTTTTGGTGGATTTCTCTATTTGGATTCAGTTTAATGGAATGATTTTTATTAGGTCTAGCTGACATCACATGTAACCTGTAAATCCCACCTCCACACTGGCCAGGCATCTTGCCCTAGCTTTGTATACCGTGTGTGATGGTTAGAAGGGGACAAGCCCTGCTGTGGTCACAGCAGCCTCCCACTTGTGCTGCCACTGTTAGTTCTGTGCTGCAAACCCTGCTGGCTGATTTAGAGGACAGTAATTAGCTTCCTATTGAGCTGCAAAAGACTGACTGGACAAGGAATGGACAAAACAAAGAAGGGAACTGATGCAAGCCAAAAGCAATTTGTCAGCAGAGCCTTTGATTTGATCAAAGATTGTTCCATAACTACCACACCTGCTTCCAGGGAGAGACACAGAGCCAAGCTTTCTGTGGTTGCAGTTTTTTCTCCACCAGGTATTTAAATTCCTACAGGATTATCTGTAATCTTGAGTTTGTCAGTGGAAAAAAAAAATTCCAAGTTGATGTAATGCCACAAAAACTTATTAAATACACAGGACCTCAGATAGTCTGCAGTAAATCACTGCAGAGAGCACAAGCCTTCTGCTCCACCACCACTTGGACAGAGAGGCTGTGATTGCACATGTGGGACAAGTATGAGCTTGGCACCCCAAAACAGACCATCTTCTGAGTGGGCTACTGGCTCCCATCTCATCCACCAGCCACAACTCCTGCTTTCCACAGCACACCTGAGACACAGCCCCTTCTGCCTCGCTCCAGCTGGAGGATAGGGCATATTAAAATTACCATCAAAGCGTCTGAACATACTTTTCTTACTTGTCATATAAGTAAATAAGTAGACCAACTATAAAATTCTATTATAAGAAAATGAAGATTTGTATCAGTGGTCAAGCCCAAAGCACTTCAAACCAGTTTGAACCCTCTGCTGCTGTCAGCAAAGCTGCTACAAGGTCTTCTGGCAGCCAATGTCAAAATGCTTCTTCTAGAATGTGGTCGTTGGTCTCAATTGCCGTTGTTGCACTGACTCTCCACATGTACTAAACCATCTTCCCTAAGGCCAGCCTCCAAGGTCCATGGTCCAGCTGTAAAAACCCTTCTGCATTTCTCAGAACTACATATACAATAATTCTCTCAAACAGGGGAAATAAACTGAGCCCAAAGGACCACCTGAGTTTTCAAAACAGAAAAGAAAATGGGGCAAGCATGTGCAGACCACCTTCTCCTCCAACAGCTGCAGTTTTCTCATACCTTGTCCTTTAATTCCAAAGGGGGGTACAAAGTCCCTGATACGTGCCCATTTCCTGAAGGAATCGTCCAAGAACATTGGTGCCGGCTTCGAGAACCTGAGAAAACCAAAATGAGAAAGAAATTAACTCCTGAACTAGGAAGGATAAACCTCTGCAGGAATGTTGAGAGAATCCATACCTAAATGTTGATTCTACATTGTCACTGGCAACAGACTAATGTGGAAGATTTTACTTTTACCCAAAGGTGAAACAAAGGTGCCAGAATTTGTGTCACCACTCAAATCACTCAAGTCACGGACCTAGCAATCACTTCCACTCAGGAATTTAAAACTGCCCCAGTACTGTTTGGCTATTAATTTAGCTACAATAAAGTGTAAATTGCAAGCAGGGTTTAGGCAGTTTGACTTCCAGCTTTGTGAGCCCAAGCCAGTTTCCGTGCTGCCTGTGTGAGCGTGTGAGGAGTCTGCTTCGGCCTCACTTGTGCACACACACAGCAGCTATCACCACACAGGCAAGAAAACAGTTCAGGAGACCGTGAAGCAGTTTGTAGTTTACAGAGAAAGGAAATGGAAATTCAGTGCCTTCTTCAGCATTCATTAACACATAAATGATTCAAGAGAGGTTCCTGCCAAACCAAACAGTTACAATCTATCCAGAATCCCTTACAAAAAAGAGACCTAGTCCTTCTTAACCATGTCATTATGGAAATACATTATCCTAATTATACCCTCAACACACAAACACAGCGGCTAGTAAAAATTTATCTCTTCTAGAAACAATTACTACAGTGGCCAGAGAAAAGGAAACAATTAGCAAATATAGAAACATTAACTTCCATATGGGACCATTTCTGAGTGTAACAAGTATGCTAGAAAGTATGTTAATACCATTAGAAATCTGTTCATTCAATCATATCAAAACACTAGCAGAGATGCTCTGGATCAAAGTCAATCCCACCAAGAAAAGGAATGTACTACATGTTCAGAGTCAGAGAAAACATCACCACCACAGAGTAAGGTACAGGCCCCTGAAATAGATCCAGCTTGGCCAACCTACACATGGGACAGGACAGGTGTAAGCCATGGGTTTAGCTCTCCCTTCGGGCTGTTTCCGAACTCAGCATGCAACTCTTATTGCAGTCAGACAACCCTTGAACCATCTGATTTAGGATAAACTCACCCACACTATGTCACAGCCAGGTACAGAGCAACAATTTCAAATAGCAGCACAGTGAGGAAAGGATGGAATGAAATCTAAATTATAAACTGGTCCAAGTGAAGTCCTATCATAGATGCCCAGTAAATCACAAATGCAGAAATCTATGGAAAGGGGAAAGAGACCAGGAGAATTTAACAAAACAAGAAGTCTCAGATTCACCCATGCATACTGCTTCACATCCACTCACGCAATCTTTAATAAGATCATCTATAACCATAAAAGCAAGATGCACAGATGACATGGCTGATCTAGAAGGAAAGGAATGTTTCTTCCAGAGCTGAGAATACAGAATATATAACTTTATCTGGGAAAAGGTGGGGGTGGTATGTTAGATATATTAGAGCTTCTGAAGCTTTTAAGTAAGAACACCCCACAGGCCTATTTTAAAACAAATAAAGAGCAATATAGCATTAACTGTAACACATTTACTCTGAAAATATCCTAAAAACTTCAATAACCTGACAAATTAGTTCAATGTTTTCTCACACATCTTGGGGCACCAAAATATAATTATTATGATTCCTGGGGCGTCTCCAGGGACTTACCTCCACCCACTTCCAACACCAACAGGAGGAATCTTTGCAGGTTGGTCATGCAATGCAAGAGCTTTTATGAGCTGAAGGGCTACAGCAGAGATGCTCGCAGCCCTTCCTCTACAGCCACCCCCTGAACTCTCAGCAGAAGCCAGGTCCCACAGAGTGGTCCCTGCTCTCCCCATGCACCAGCCTAACTCAGAAGCAGTGTTATTTATACATGCAAATAACTGCTCTGTTTGCAAGTGATACATCTGGAAAAGCCAATTTACAGTAGTCTGATGTGGAGTAAGGAAATCCTTTCCCTAATGCAGATTTCCATTTACAAAAGGTGCCTGGTAAAACCAGGAGGGAAGTCAGGTCCTCCTAAGACTCCCTGGAGCACAGGGGAGTCCCCAAAATCAGTTGAAGCTCAAGGCATGACTGATCTAATGCTCTGTGGTATTGCTTCTGCATGTGACAACCAGGGCACCAAAGTGATGCCAAAGAAAGGGTGAAATGATCATTGGCCTTTTTTTTTGTATTTGCTACAAATAAATGTAGGGATTTTTCTAGCAAAGAACATGACAGCCTTAGACTAGCTACCATTATTTGGTAATATTTAATACTCCTGTATACAGGGGCAGAAAAATGGACTTTTAACTCATACTTCTGCTTCATTTAAGGAGGAAGAACAGTTTTAGGGAAATATTATATCCATATGGGAAAAAAGGGAGCAAGTTAGAAGATATTTTGCTCCCATAAATCTTGAAAGTAATTCTGTTTGGGAAATATTAAGAAATTAAGAATGCTGTAGGCTCATGCGCTTTGCCACCTCAATAAATCAGAGCTAGCCAGAGCTGATGTCCAGCAGTGACAGGGAAATGCTGTCTGCCAGACTCTCCAGGAGCATGGCTGTTCTGTCTCAGCTCTGAACTGCATCTGGCGTACTCCAGGACCCTTCAGGAAATATTGGGATTTGTCTCAAACAGGCCATGGGAATGCTCTCTGCAGAGCACCTAAAATACATTCCAAGGAATGCATGGGAGTCTGTCAAACAGAAAAGGCAAATGTTTCTGAATGATGTTAAAGCTCTGCAAGTACTGAGCAGCTGGGTACGGGATGCTGCATTTTGCCTGTCACAGCTGCCTAAAGGCAGGTTGGTCTCACTGGCAACCACAGAGCTCCAGACCCAAAACAGGTTTGTGCTCCTTCAGAAAACAGCACAGAAAGTGAAAGTTTTGACTTTTCAGTTCTAAATTTTAAGCACTTCCTCTCTACTCCACCCCAAATTCCAGAACAGACATATTGCAACCTCATTGCACCTGACACCCTGAAAAGCTGAGGAATTTGGCTGCTTGTGGCACACACTTATGACGTCTGTAATTTGAGAGAGAAATGCCACCCATCTACAATCACTAGTTTGAATGGCATACCCTGCTAAAACACAAATGACATCTAAATGGACTAAATGCTTGACATGATAATTGTGAGGTACAAAACAAATCTCTCCCAGTTCTCAAGTTTGAATTCCTCATACAAAGCAGCAATAAAATCTCTAACAATTTGTCACTACGCACAGCAAAAGGAAGCGAACGTTCTGCCAGAAACTGTTCTTAAACAGAAATCTATAATCACACAAAAATGTGATATATATTTGTGCCTAAAGGACTCTGGCTTTTGTGACAAAACATTACATTTCCAGTTCTTTCCTCCCTGACAAGAAGAGTTGTGACCCCAAAGCATTTCTGAAGGCAGAGCCAGCCTGCCAGAAGCTCCCCAGCCAAGTTTTTCAGCCATTCCATTTTGTCCCTGACACTGAGACCACTTCACAGTTGCTCCTCTTTGATGAGCACAGAAGTATTCAGCATAAGCAGCACTAACTTCCCAAAGTATCCTGCAGTCACTAGGCAAGGTAACTATGGGACAATTTTAGACATTGAATCTTGACCAGAATCTCCTCCCTACTCCTTACCTGCTGCTTTCCTGGCAATTAATACATAAATGTGTAGAAGATAAAAAGCTACGTCTCAGAGAAAGAAAAAGAAATAAACTGATTTATGTGTCTTTGGCTTTAACGAGGAGGGATGAAGAAAAGGTCAAGTTCCTGAATGAGTCAAGGAGAAGATGGCACCACATTTCTAAGGAACCACGACACCAAGGAAAGGCAGACAGGCAGCCACCAAGCTCCACTGTGAGCTTATATTTCAGATATTCCCTTTTTTAAAAACATCCTCCTTTAAGTTGACCTGTGCTTTTGTTTATTCTTTAATTAAGGAGAATCAGTAGTGCTGGAAAACTGAAAGCTGAAATAAAAAAAAAAGCCCAAACAGTGCTAGAACCTAATGCTGTGCAGAACCTGCACACTGCATTTGTAAAGGGGCAGGAACAGCTTCTCTCTCTTTTTTTAAACCACACATAAATTATTTATTTACACTGGCATGACTTCTATCTTCTGTTTGCCGATGATCAAAAGCATCCATGGTTAGACAGAAGGCACAAAGTCTACCAATGTTATTAATTAAATACAAACCGAAGCCCTTGAGTACTGAATCATTAGCCCTGACACAGGCATTTATGGAGAGAGAGAGAATCTAAACTAACCTTTTCCTTTTTCATTACTGAGACCTAGAAGTATGCTGTCTCCCTTGCCTCCCTTCTCTGGGGAGCCACATGGTGTGACAGCATAGGAATGAGGAGGTTTGTGACATCCTGATTTTACATTTCTTATTGACATTAATCCTCTGTCAAAAATCCAAGCAGCTCCAAGATTCCTCAAGGAGCTGAAAAATTTAAGAAACTGCATTAATAAGGATTAACCCCATCCTACAACCAGTTTTCCTATATCAGCAAACAACCCTCCCCCCAAAAAAGATGGCTGCAAGAAGAATATCTTTAACAGCAGAGATCACGTCAAAAATTAAGTTGATCTTAACAAACTGCAGAAGTCTAAAATAAAAGAATATGGCAGAGAGAACGTAGCACTGAGGCATGGCTGGTCAGAGCACCCTGCCAGTGCCATTTGAGACCACCTAACTCTTTACAAGAGAGTGTGAGCCACAGATCCCCACCCATCTTCTCCCCTGCCCTCTGTCCCTACAGACCCTTGTGTGTGTCTGCAGCTGCCTCTTTCAGGCTGCAAAGGTCTCAGCTACGTGGCCACTCCCCACTCTGACACCACTGAATGACACAGCAGAACAGTGCTCTGCAGTAAATGTCACCACCACTCCAAAAAGATTACTTTGAACAGGCTTTATTCCATAAGCAAAGGGCAGGTAAAATCAACTGAACCCAAACCCCACAGACCATGTAGCAGTTATCCCTGCCTACTCCCCTGTGAATGATTGCTCTGTATCTTTGAGGCAC